GAGAAGGTGAATGTTCTGTTTATGTTCAATATTTTTGGCCAAGTTGGTTGCATCATTTTCTGATTTAGAATTTGTCGAAAATTTAAATTAAAATTTAAAATTATATATTGCTTCTTTAAAAGTTGAAGATTTTAAATGAGGAGGTTAACAGGGTCTTGGAGCTAACAAAGGAGGGTCCGAGTCTAGCCAACGCCCATGTATTAAAATTGCGCATTGGTCGAGTCTCTGATGTAAAATAAAAATGAAGAAAGAAGTTTGACAGCACATGAGGGGTGTGTTGAAGATTAAACCCATGTTTGGTTTTGCTAAAAAAATCAATTTTAGCAGATTTTGATAAAAGTTGATGAAATATGATATTGAAAAGTTGATAAAAGCTGTTGATCCCATTAAATGTATGGTTAAAATTAATTGTTGAATTTAAATTATATTTAAATCAATAAATGTTTTATCTCTCTAATTTCTTAAGCATTATATATCGTTTACAATGAGTCCCTTCCATTTTTCACAGGATCACTAGGAAGCAGTTCAAGACAATTTTACACAGTAGAAAATGACAATCCAGATATTGATCTACCATTGTTTGATGTAACCACAATATTAAAGGCTACCAATTACTTTTCACCTAGCAACAAGATTGGAGAAGGAGGATTTGGACCAGTGTACAAGGTAAATTTTATACTTTATTAGGTAATTTGAACTATAATTATAACATAATATTGACCTCAATTATTTATTTGTACCAAAATTGTTCAGGGTGTACTCAAAGAGGGCAAAGAAATTGCTGTGAAGAGGCTATCAAAGTATTCAACACAAGGAAATGATGAGTTTAAAAATGAAGTAATTTTAATTGCAAAGTTACAACATAGGAATCTTGTAAATCTTGTTGGATGCTGCATTCATGAAGAAGAGAAGATGCTTATCTACGAATTCATGCCTAACAATAGCTTGGATACTTATATATTTGGTTAGTTTTTCTTGAGACTATATTGTATTTCATTTTTTTTTTTTCGATCGACTACACAATATAGTCCTGTCCAATTCTATGTACAAAGCATGTTAAGTGCCAAATTTTTGCAGATAAGGATCAAGGTAGATTGTTGGATTGGCAAAAGCGGTTTCGAATTATCAATGGAATTGCTCGTGGATTACTTTATCTTCACCAAGACTCCCGATTGAGAATAATTCATAGAGATCTCAAGGCTGGCAACATTTTGTTAGATGTTGATATGAATCCAAAAATATCAGACTTCGGTATGGCAAGAAGTTTTGTAGGGAATGAAACTGAAGCAAACACGCGAAGAGTTGTCGGTACATAGTAAGGACTCCAACATAACTTATGCATACTTGATTTGTTTGGCAAGTAGGTTGCATAATACTTGACATTGTTAAGGGGGGAAAAAGTTGAATCTTTTCCATGTATCGTCGAGTTCTAGATATCAAACATGTTCTAAGCTCACTCTTCTTTCTTTACACAAGAAAATCTCAATATAGTTGTTGTTTTGCAGTGGTTACATGTCACCTGAATATGCAGTCGATGGTCATTTCTCAGTAAAATCCGACATATTCAGCTTTGGCGTCCTCATTCTAGAAATAATAAGCGGACAAAAGAACAGAGGATTTTTTCATCTAGACCACCATCACAATTTGCTTGGACATGTAACTTTCTGTTTCTTACTTTAATTCTTCCAACATGTTTGTCTCTTCAAATTCTTACATCTAACTTTTGACTCATCGATTAGGCATGGATTCTACACAATGAAGGACGCTCTCAAGAATTAATTGACTCACATTTAGTTCAATCATGCTACTTATCAGAAGTACTTCGATCAATGCATATCGCACTATTATGCGTACAGAGAAACCCTGAAGACCGGCCAAGTATGTCGAATGTTGTACTAATGTTGGCAAGTGAAGGGGCATTGCCTAAGCCTAAAGAGCCCGGCTTTTTCACAGAAAGAAATTTATTTCATGAAGTCGAAACTTCATCAAGTAAGCCTATAGTAAGTTCTGTCAATGAATTGAGTTTCACAGTAATGGAAGGTCGATAATATATAGTGCCATAGGAGCATATATCAATCATTTAAATTAAAATTTTCGTTCAACAATAACATTTTATCAATCTATATTTTTGATCAATTTATGTGTTTTATGAATGAACTTCTGGCTTCTTCTTTTTTTCCCGTCTTAAAATTTATTTATGTACGATCTAATCACCGCATTCAATACTATTGTTGTTGATACTAGAGTCTCTAGTAGGTAATGTGTTGTAAAAGTGAAATTTTAGAAATAAAATGAATACTGGTAGGTAATTATATGTAAATAAAAGCTTAAAATAAAATAAATAGGCAACAACTATATACCCATTATTAATGACCTAACATACTACTCCCTCCATCCTACAAAGATAGTTTCGTTTTGCCCCCAGGGCACATCTCCAAATGGTAAAAGGGGTTGCCCACGAGCCGTCCGGCAAGAATGAGAGCAAGAATTTCCACGTCCAGTAGGAAGTAGGGAGACCGCCCCTCACTCTCGTCAGCTGTACATACGTCACCTTCCATTGTCTTAGCGAAAAATTCAACGTACTCCTGCGTGCCGGGAAGTTCCATTCCTTACCCGTCAAAGCCAGTCTTCTTCGGAACCCGCCAATCCATCTTTAAGCGCGAGAGTCGGAAGATCTAGTTCAAGTAGGTTTCCGTTTTGCCCTCAGGGCACATCTTCAAGTGGTAAAAGGGGAGGGTGGAGAAATCCAGTTTTGCTTGAGGTTACTGCGTCAAGGGTTCGAATCCTGAAATATGGATTTGGCTTTTGGGTAAGTGCAAGTGTACAAGCAGTCTTCCACTCTATACCCTTGGAGGCATAACCTGCGATTTACCTCCCTCACGATGCTCCAGGACAGGGGTGGTGGGGGATCCTTAAAGTTAGGATTTAACCTTTTTTTTTAAGATAGTTTCGTTTTTCCTTTTCATCCATTCCAAATTATAGTTCTGTTTCTTATTTGAAAATGCAG